GGCTAGACCCTGCATTACTGTCTCGTTTTGTTTCAGGTTTGTCTTCTTTTTAATTTTTGCTTTTTGCTTTTCTGATCATCTAAATCTATCATAAATATCCGCTTTCCTGTATTATAACCGTGTCTTCATACATTGTAGGCCTATCTTCTTTCTTTTCCGAATATTTTCGTTGGTAGGTAATGCATACTTGTAGCTTTAAACTTATTGTTACATTGAAAATGCTAATGTGTACACACTTCAAATTCAATCCGTTCAGATAAAGCCGGGGAAAAGGCTTACAACTTGTAAGAGAATTAAGACAAAGACCGTTAACATAAGACAAAGACAAAGACAAAGACCGCTAACATAAGACAAAGACAAAGACAAAGACCACCATGTCCAACTTAAGCCACCTGGACAACCCCGGCGTAAGTATTGACTCAGTAATCTCCCCGCAGTGTGTACCATCACGTTCTCACTAATTGACACCTCACGCTACACGCACGCACGCTCACGCACACACTGACAGACATACACTGATGCACGCATTGACAGGCACACTGACACACACACACTGATGCACACCCTGACAGACATACTGACGCACACACTGAGAGACACATTGACAGACACACTTTGCGAAAAAGTACAGTCTCCCGCTGATACAGAAAAACGGGGCTCAATGTAAAGATGATTATTTCATTACAATGGGCTCGGGGCAGGGGTTGTGTTTAAGTATTAGTAAGAGTTTTTTAGTTTGTTTTAGTAGAGGTTTTACGGCGCTCGCAACTGCATAAGGTCATATGAGCGCCAGAAGATTAGAGGTGTTACAAGAGAGTAATTAACATAAAAAAGAAGGAGGGGAGATACGGACGATAGATGTTTCATAGGAAAGAAGAAGCAAACCACACCAGAGCACCCGCCAACCACCCACAGTAAGAGTTTTAAGGCACTTGCAAAACAAATAGATCATATAACAGAAAATGTAAAGTGCTACTAGAGGGTAGCATTCAAAGACAAGGAGGGCAGATAAGAACAATATTTGTTTGATAGGAAAAAGAAACAAGGAAGGG